GCGAGGGCAGAGAGAGTGCATCTTAATCCATAGGCGAGGGCAGAGAGAGTGCATCTTAATCCATAAGCGAGGGCAGAGAGAGTGCATCTTAATCCATAAGCAAGGGGCAGAGAGAGTGCATCTTAATCCATAGGCAAGGGCAGAGAGAGTGCATCTTAATCCATAGGCAAGGGGCAGAGAGAGCTGACTGGGAATGACGTGGGCTGTGAACTCTCACATCCATCCCCAGTGACACACCACTCCAACAAGGCCACAGTTCTAATCCTTCCCAAACTATCTCAGGACCAAACATTCAAACATAGGAGCCTATGAGGCCATTCCCATTCATACCACCACAACCAATGAGAGTAATAACTCATTGTTACCACTCCCCTTGGGCTGAAGTGGATACAGTGAAATAATCAAGCACTGCACTTCCACTGCCTCTGAAGTAAGAACTGTACTTCAGGATAACCAAACAGTATCAGTAAGTGAGAAAACCTCTTCTTTTAAAAGGAGTGCCACACCAGAACCTGGAAATAGCTGAGAGATGCCCCTCAACCGAAGGATGGATTAAGAAAATGTGTCACATATACACAATGGAGTACTACTCACAAAAACGACATCATGAAATTTGCTGGCAAATGGATGGAACTAGAAAATATCATCCTGAGTGAGGTAACCCAGATTCAGAAAGACAAACATGGTATGTACTCATAAGTGGATACTAGAAGTAAAGCAAAGGATAACCAGACTACAACCCACAGCTCCAGAGAAGCTAGCTAACAAGGAGGACCCTTAAGAGGGACACATGGATGGCTCTGAGAAAGGGAAATAGATGAGATCTCTATGAGTAAACTGGGGGTAAGGGAAGACAAATGAGGGTAGGCAATGGGGGATGAGAACATAAGGGAATGAGAGGGTCAAGCTGGAATAGGAATGGAGTGGGAGAGCAATGAAAGAGATATCATGATAGAGGAAGACATCATGGGGATAGGGAGAAACAGGGTGCTAGGGAATTTCCTAGGAATACACAAGGATGACCCCAGCTTAGACTACTAACAATAGTGGAGAGGGTGCTTGGACTGGCCTACTCCAGTAATCAGATTGGTGAACACCCTAACTGTCATCATAGAGCCTTCATCCAGTAACTGATGGAAACAGATGCAGAGATCCACAGCTAAGCACCAGGCTGAGCTCCAGAAGTCCAGTTGAAGAGAGAGAAGAGGGATTCTATGAGCAAGGGGCATCAAGATCGTGACGGGGAAATGTAGAGACAACCAAACCAAAGTAGTGGGAATTCACAAACTGTGGTCCAATAGCTGTGGAGCCTCCATGATTCTAGACTAGGCCCTCTGCATAGGAGAGACAGTTGTATAGCTTGACCTGCTTAAGGAGCCCCTGGCAGTGGAATCAGGATCCATCCCTGGTGCATGTGTGGGCTTTTTGGAGCCCAGTGCTTATGGTGGGACACCTAACACAGCCTTGGTGCAGGGGGAGGGGCTTGGACCTGCCTCAACTGAAAGTACCAGGCTCTGCTGACTCCCCATAGGAGGCCTTACCTTGGAGGAGGTGAGAATAGGGGGTGGGCTGGAGAGGGGAAGGCTGAGGGGCGGGAGGAGCGAGGAGAGGAGGAACTGTGGTTGGTATGGAAAAGTAATAGAAAATTCCTTAATAAGAAAAAAAGAGTGCTGCTAAGTTATAGGCAAAATGACAGATTTAGAAAATCATCAATACATAACCTTCAATGAGATCAATAATCCTGACAGCAAACATCAATGGATAATAAGTTCATCAAGAAAAATAATAGTTATTTACATGTTACCAATTTTTCTTCCACAAAGTTTCTGTTAAGTGAAGTATAAAAATTATTTTTCAAAGAATAAATAAATCATTTTTTAAAAAGTTTATGTGTGGTCTGCCTGCATTACATTTGAGCCAGACATGGTAGTGCATGCCTTTAATCCCAATACTTGGAAGGCAGAAGAAAGGCAGATCTCTGTTAGACCAGGCCAGCCTGGTCTACAAAGTGAGTTCCAAGACAACCAGGGCTACACAGAGAAAGCAAAACAAGCAAACAAACAAAAAACAAAAACAAAAAAACACTTAAAACAAAGAGATTCCTTCATTAGTGTCAGTAACACCAATTTAATTTAGTAATCTATCTAAATATTCTAGCCACTAACACTAAAGCAGTATGACAGTACATGACACTCAGTGTGCTATAGAATGAAGTGTAATCAAGCCTTTACTCTTCTCTAAAAAATATTGGGTAGTAGACAAAGGGGTAACATAATACCACAAGGAGGCAAAATGCTATAAGCCCATTTATAGTTAAAAAAGAAAGCCGCTAATGGAAATACCACGTTAAGCCCTTTTGGTACAATGCTAACTGACCAACAAGCAGGATGGACTACTGCTTGAATACTGGCCTGATGTATACAATACACAAAAACACATTATAAGCTGGGCAGTGGTGGCACATACTTTAATCTCAGCACCCAGGAGGCAAAGGCAGGGATATTTCTGTGAGTTCAAGGCCAGCCTGGTCTACACAGTGAGTTCCAAGACAGCCAGGGCTACATGGAAAGACTCTGTCTCTAAAAACCAAAACACCACCACATTATACAGCATTATTTACTGGAATATTTTAAAGTAAAGCAAGGAACAAGTTCTAAATAGAAGTATGTTTTTAAAAAATGATAGAAAATGCCTTTAAAACAGAGGTCAAGGTCCAGAAGATGGCTCAGTGGGTAAAGGTGACTATTGCCAAGCCTGAAGATCTGTGCTAGATCCCCACGACCCACAAGATGAAAGTTGTCCTTGTTCTTCACGTGTGCACCATGGCACATGCATCTACACACATAACACATGCACACACACATACATATATATGGAGGGGTGTGTGTGTGTGTGTGTGTGTGTGTGTAGGAAGCTAAGGAAAAGAAATGTATGGTTTTATTTTCATTTAATAATGAAATTCAAATGACAACAGCATTATTATATCCAAATATGAAAAAAAAAAACAAATATGGAGCTATTAATACATACCACTCACAAGGCTGAAGGGATCGAAAAGCCTTGAAAGAAGCATCCATTCCAGCAAAATCCCAAAATTTAACATCGTAGTCATATCCTCCAGTGACCAAGCGGGCACCTGAGGGATCCAAACCCAAAGCAGAAACCTGTTCAAAACAAGCAAACAAATGAACAGCGGAAGACTAGTTACTATCCCAGCCCCATTTCTAGTCCCCAGTACCACCACTATCAGAGAGGCACTGCACCCATGCACCATCAGCCAGTGCTACTTCTGAAAGGCAGTGATGGACAGCATCCTCCACGTTATTTGACTTTATTTTAAGAATTATTTATCTCAAAATAAAGAAAAAATATCTATGTGTGTGTGTGGGATGTTGGGGTTTGTGTGTGTGTGTGTGTGTGTGTGTGTGTGTGTGTGTGTGTGTGCGCGCGTGCTGCGCAAGTGTACATGTGAATGTGTGTTGGAAACAGGCAGATTCCTGGAGTTTATTGGCCAACCACCCTAGTCAAATTGATGGTTCCAGGCTAGTAAGAGAAGATAAAGAGCAACTAAGGAAGTTGCTGATGTCAGTCCCTGGCTTCTATGTGTACACATACCTGTACATGTGCAGACCATGTAAACCAATTCATTCATTCTCATTCTCTCCTTCTCTCTCAAAGCTTATATAACTCAGATCAGTGTGGAGCACACACCTTTATTTCCAGCTCTCAGGAGGCAGAGGCAAGCAGACCTCTGTGAGTTCCTGGACAGCCAGAGCTACATAATGAGACCCTATCACTGTCTCAAAGAACAACAACAAAAAGAGAAAAATTCTGGGCAGGGCAAAACGACAAGACGATGAAGGTTTGTTATTGAGACGTTTTTTAAGGTAGCTATGGTGTTTTGTTCCAGATGAGCTGTTTTCTTGTTTTAGGGGTAGGAATTGGTTTGGGGGGTACTTAGGGTTTTTGTTTTGTTTTGGAGTTTTTGTTTTGTTTTTTGTTTTTGTTTTTGTTTTTGTTTTTCGAGACAGGGTTTCTCAGTGTAGCCTTGACCTTCCTGAAACTAGCTCTGTAGACCAGGCTGGCCTCAAACTCACAAAGATCCACATGCCTCTGCCTCCCGAGTGCTCGGATTAAAGGCGTGTGCCACTACCACCCGGCTTTTTGTTTTAAGACAAGGTCTCAATAGGTAGACCTAACTGGAACTCAACCTGACATGTTCCTCCTGCCCCTGCCTCCAGTGTGCCAGGATTGCAGGCATAAACTCCCATGCCTGGATTCACAATGATGCTATGCTATAAGAGCTAGCTAGCATTCAGACATAGCAGGATCGCTGTCAGTGCTATAAACATTATTCCACATAAACCAAAGGGTATGAAAAGTCTGTAAAACAAAACTCAGGCGGGACAAAGTAATCTGCCCCAGATAGAGAATGTATCTCCTTCCACGGACTAAACTAATCCTCAATCCCTGTGTTCCCAAGAGTTAAAGAACACAGAAAGTTTAACCATTTCTTCAGTGTGTTTTAATCACATTGAAAGAAAACAGAGACAAAAGTGTCAGTATAATTCTACAGATGGTTATGTAAACATATTATTGAAGAAATAATTATCTTAATTGCCATAAAATGCAGAAATAGGTATCAAATTATTATGGATAATGGTCTAGACTTTTCTGAACAAGAAATAAATTATTTTAAGCTTTCTATTTTAGCTTACTACATAAAATAACAGATCATGTCCTACCCCTACCCGCAGGCCATGTTTTATTTATTTTCTTGAGATTACAATATAATTATAACATTTCTCCCTTCCCTTTCCTCCCTCCAAAGACTCCCATATCTCCCTCCCCAGTCTCCTTCAGATCCTCGGCCTGTTTCTCCACTAACTGCTATTGCATGCATATACGTGTGTCTATGTCTACCCTAACGTCTTTCACCCCAGCCTGAGAACGGACGGACTCTAGCATCCTCATCCTCAGCCCTCTCCCTCACACTTAGAGCGCTCACCACTTGCTCAGTCTTAAGCTTTAGATGTGAATCCAGAATCAGTCAATTTATTTGACCTGGCAGCATGCTAACTGTATAAATGTTTGAATACTTGACAATTTTTCTTATGATTATAGAAAAATATTAAAAATACAGTTTTAATTTAAATTGGTTAAAAATCATGCTCAAGGAACATTTAATAAAGAATTTTTCAACTCAATATAAACCATTGATCTTATATTTTTAATTCAAACTTTAAAAGAAGCCCCTACAAAAATCCCATTTTTAAATATTTCAGTCTTTCTGTGAGATGACAAAAAACATCCACTTTTACTATCACCATCAGCAGTTTATTGAAGCAATTATTTAAAAATAGATATACATTATAGAGAAATGTATAAGCATGATATACCTATGAACATTGGGGAAAAAAATCTAAAAACTATAGCCTAACCTTCCACTCTTAAAAACTATCAAAAGAAAAGCAAGTAAATCCAAATGGAAGCAGAAAGAAGGAATTAGAAACTTCAGAGTTGTCTTAGTTAGGGTTTTCTATTGCTGTGAAGAGACAACATGACCACAGCAACTTTTTTTGTTTATTTGTTTTGGTTTTGGTTTTTTGGTTTTTTTGAGACAGGGTTTCTCTGTGTAGCTTTGGAGCCTGTCCTGGAACTCACTCTGTAGACTAGACTGGCCTCAAATTCACAGAGATCCACCTGCCTCTGCCTCCCCAGTGCTGGGATTAAAGGCATGTGCCACCACTGCTCAGCGACCACAGCAACTTTTATAAAGACAGCATTTAATTAATTAAAAACATGAATTTAACTCTTTTAAAGAAAACATTTAATTACAGTTTAAGAGGCTCAGTCCATTGCCATCATAATGGTGGCACACATGCTGCCATTGTTCTGAAGCTGAGGGTGTTACACCTGGCAAGCGACAGGAAGTCGACTGACATCACACTGAGGGAAGCTTGAGCAAGAGAGACCTCAAAGCCCACCCCCACAGTGACACACTTCCTCCAACAAGGCCACACCTCCTAACAGTGCCTCTCCCTTTGGGGGCCATTTTCTTCCAAACCACTACAGGAGTGGAAAGGGAAACAGAGCTCTGTAAACACAGAAAAAGTCACAGAACTAGAAAAGTTGGTCTTGTGAATTTTTCAATGAAAATGAGAAATCTTTACTGGAGTAGCAAAAAAGAAAGAGTTACTAATATTGGGACTGAAAGAAAGAATTCGCTATCTGGGACTAGAGAGATGGGGTCAGCAGTTAAAAGCACTGGCTACACGTCCATAGGACCCACATGTATACCTGGTACCCAAGGAGGAGGACCAGAAATGGGTGTTGAATCCACTAGAACTGGAGTGACAGAAGGTTGTGAGCTGCCGTGTGGGTGCGGGAATTGGACCCAGGTCTGCTGAAGCATCTTCCCAGCCCCATGGTATTTTTTAAAACATATGTTAATAAAAAGAAAATAAAGGCAGAGGTTCTCAAATATTTGGAGGAAACTTCTGACGCCTAAAAATCTGTCCAGACCATTTAGGTTCCAACCATAAAGTATTTTTTAATGTAACATTTGTGTGTATTGATATTAACCACCAGAAATGAGGATATTTCATTTCATTTAAAATGACATTAAACTGATTATATATAACAAATACATGTATGAAAACAATCTTTACAAGTGAAAAGTTTCTGTGTCATGAGTGATACTACTCTAAGATTCCTATCTATTAATTTTCCCATTTCTGGATCTACCTCTGTTTTCTTCTTATGTGCCATACATCTAAAAATAAATGGTAGTTCCAGTGAAATGGGAAGGTGTTTCTAACACTTTCATTGCATGTGCACACTTTGCTTACTCAACCACCATTTTTAGTAATTTTGCAATAACACACAGTGATTTCACCTACCTAGCAAGTATTTCTATTATTAGGCTTTAAGTGACATAAGTAGGTAAATAATATGAAAAAACAATATCATTAACGTAATCTTAGAGCAACACAGAAACCATTTAAAGTGTATTTTTTATCTCAGCATTCATCTGCAAAGTGAACAAATTCATGCCTTTCACTGATATGGGAATAAAGCTGAGGAAATGGGAAATTTTCCCAAGCTACTAAAAACAAAACTATTATTTGAATGTCTTATAATTTTTCTGTATCCCAGGAAAAGAGGTTCTTAATGCCAACAATAACACTGACAGTAAGTGGTCCCCATGAAAATGAAAGGCATGGCTATTTTCATTGACTGTGAAAGTCACCTTTCTACTTCTGTGATGTGTGCACCTTTCATGACATCAGCTGGCCTTAGAATGGTCTTAGGTTTGTTAATACACTTATCAGCTGACTGTTCCAGGAAAGCTGTTACTGACAAAGAGAACAAAAACATTTTAAACTTACCGTTTTAGTGCCATGCTTCAGTGTTATCTCGTGAGAATCAGGAATCCTTTGGACAGGGTTCTGAAACAGGAAGGTTCCATTACATCAGTGAGTAAAATAACGTGCATGTGCACCTACACAGCACATCCAAGGGGTGCACTGCTGTGTGCTACTGGTGCCCAGAGACTAAGGGAGACAAACACTCTACCAGAGCAGAGCGATTTCCCAGCCCTTCTTTTTCTTCCCTTTGAAAGTCTGAAAAGACTTTTACTAATTGTTTAGTGGGGGGGGGAGGGGGGGGCGTGTGTGTGTGTGTGTGTGTGTGTGTGTGTGTGTGTGTGTGTGTGTGCGCGCGCGTGTGCATGCCATGGAGATACACATGTACAATATACAACTTGTCCTCTGTTCCTTCCTTCCACCATGTGGCTCACTGGGATGGAATTCGAATCATCGCACCTGGTGACAAGTGCCTTTACCCACCAAGCCATGTCACCGGCCCCTTTCTCAATCCTTTTGTAAATGTTTTAGCAAGATTTTTCTAAGTTGCTCAGACTAGCCTTGAACTTGCTGTGTAGCCCACAAAGGCTCTGAACTTACAAACTTTCTGCCTTCCTCATGAGTGGCTGGGGATTACAAACATGAGCCACTAGCCACAGTGAAATAAAGACAAACAGAATCTCTGTGTGTGTGTGTGTGTGTGTGTGTGTGTGTGTGTGTGTGTGTGTGTGTGTGTTTGGTTTTTCACCACAAAGCCTTAGCAGAAAAGGGGGGGAGCTGGAGAGATGGCTCAGTAGTAAGAGCACCCAGCATCCACATGGCGGTCCACAACCACTTTACAACTCCAGTTCCAGGAGATCCAACACCCTCTTCTGGAATCCATGGGCTTCTTTCTACACACATGTGGTACACACACACTAACCCAGGCACACACATTCACATAAAAATAATAAATCTTTCTTTTAAAGGAAAATAAATGAGGATGTCTTTCTTCTGCATGTCTAGACATACTACAATTCCTCTACTACTGCTTATAAATGATTGGAGCTGTTTGTTTGTTTGTTTGTTTGTTTGTTTGTTTTTCGAGACAGGGTTTCTCTATGTAGCTTTGGATGTAGCCCAGGCTGGCCTCAAACTCACAGAGATCTGCCTGCATCTGCCTCCTGAGTTCTGGGATTGAAGGCGTGCACCACCACTTTCCAGCTATAATTATAATTTAATATAAAAAATGACAGACGTGTGGAGAGATTAAGTGAGAGATAGCAGAGAAGGATACATAAATAAGATGTCAGAGTTTACAATAAACATTTGATTATGGGTCTTCATCACTTAATCAAATCTTCATTTTTTCCTCCTTCCAATCTTTCTCCTGCTATAGCTCTTTTCCTAGCATGTAAACAGGTCAGTATTTCCCATACACTAGGCCTTCAAGCTGCACGGAAAGAGGAGAGAAAGCCCATCTCATGCACACCTCAGCCCAGGCCCTGAACCTGGATATTGCAAACGGGGGTTACGGCATACAGTTGAGGACAAACACAACAAAACAAACAAAAACTCTATCAATTTAATGTACATGTACTGCCTAATGTTTACCTTTTCCTCTACAACTAAGTTTTTTCCACAGTATGGTTTCACCCAGTTCCCTTCCATCTGCCCTACCACTTGGAAGCTGCCGTTTTATTACTAGTGCCTGGCACAGATCTGGGCACACAGAAGCACTGAGTAAATAGTTCTTGAATGAATAAGCAAGTCACTGTAAATGCCCCAGACTTAGCCTGCTCATCTGGCTTTCCAACGGCATTGTGACTACCCATCTCTCCATTTTGAAACTGCCCTTTCCTGAGCGAAAACACCCCAGATAAAAAGGCCAGGAAAGCTGGGCGGTGGTAGCCCACGCCTTTAATCCCAGCACTCGGGAGGCAGAGCCAGGCGAATCTCTGTGAGTTCGAGGCAAGCCTGGTCTACAGTGCCAGATCCAGGACAGGCACCAAAACTACACAGAGAAACCCTGTCTCAAAAAGAAAAAAAAAGGGGGGGGGGCAGGAAAGCTAGAGTATGTAGATCTAGTTCTGCCACTTGTTAATCACGTCATTAACTTAGGTGGTAACTCTCACTGTCCTCACTGGAAAGCTCTGGACAAGTGTATAGTTTGCTATAAAAGTGTGGTACAAAGCTCTTCATACAGAACGTAACACACAGAAGGGCTCAATCAGCAATGGCCACTATTCATTCTAAGGCTTCTGTCTCTCTGGTTATAACATCTTCCTCTTTTTCTAGGCTTAGCTTCCTGTTTAACTCTGATTCCTTAAAGATTCAACTCAAACGTCACTGGCTCCTGGAAGGATTTCACAACACTTCCTATTCCGGGTTAAATAGCATTTCTATGCCATCTCATGACAATATTTCTTACCTCAGGCACTAACGTCATGCGACACTTTAATGCCACCTCAGCCCTCCTAACTGCTCTCTAACCAAACGGCAAAATGTTAACCTCTTAAAGCTATGCATACTAGATTATCTCACTCTGGATCCTCATGTCACACAACAGCTAACATATGGAAACACATAAAAGTTTTGGGAATGAATAAATAACCCACTGTTTATCTTGATGATCAGGTTAGACAGTAATTTTTCATCTAAGTCAAACTTTGGGATTGATGGTTATGACCATAAATAGAAGTAGGCACTTTCCATCAGGTCAGTCCAATGAGAGGCAGTAGACAAGAGTTCCCCAAAAGTGAAAACCTTGTAAGAAAATGATTATACCACAACTCAATTCAGGATGAACACCACAACAGCAGAAAACGGCTACAGTCTACTGCTGCAACAGATTACTAACAGATTAGGAACCAGAAGGGAGTTGAACACAAACAACTGGGGGATTTTCAGTTTATTTCAAAACAAAGACAATGTACTTCAAGGCTTCATATTTTCTGATAAGTATTACACACAACCTATTTCAGAGACAAAACTATTCCAACACAAATTCAAAAACAATTAAAAGGTCCAACAAATGGGTTCTGGGCTCTCCCTCCACTGGGAATTATATAGGACACTGCTATATCAGACTGTATGTTTAAGCAACAGTTAGAGAGGAAACTATTGTAATCCATATCTCATTTTATAACTAATTACTTAAAAGAAGAAACTATTACAGTCTGCCTTTAATTTCTTAACTAATTACTTTTTAATCATTCAGAAAGTAGAAATACCATTGCAAAAAGAAAAAGCTGGTATGAGAATTATTTCGTTTAATTCAATACAGAATGTGCCTATATATAGACAATTTCTAACACTTCAGCAAAGAAACTCAGACCACAGAACTTCATATTTACATTAGGAGTGAATTAAAAGTGCTGTTTACATTTAAAACCAAAGTTTTACTGGAAATCATGGAGGGCATAACTCATAAAAATCCCATATAATTGGCAGAACTTAATGATCTAAAATAGTAGCAATCCATCTTTTTGGAGCATATCACTTAGTGAGTGTACTTTTTCCAGAACTTTTTACTAATGACTTTGAAATATGGCTTAGTGTGAAATTCACAATTACAATAAAATATTTTCAAGATTTTGCTGCCAAGGAACATCATAGACTAAATGACTTTAGCGAAGTAATTTATAACAAGAACTCATAACAAAAGCTACAATGGTAATGGAAAAGGGAGATACTCCTCTTGCCTTGGATTGCTTTAATACTGCCAGAAGGGTATTTCCCAGGCTCTTTGGTCTTTCTCAAATAACAACAGTAAGCACATCCAGGCTAACCTGAGCAATTCTATACGAGGAACATCCTGCAGTGTTTTCAAAGATTTGCAAATCATAGTCATTCAGGTGAAAAGTCAAGAGTTAAGAAAGTTGTACATGTTTGTTACTATAAGCTATAACAAAAAGACTACTTGGAAACAAGTCAGGACTAAAGCAAACTCTAGCCTATCTCTGAGGAGCCGATAAAACTGACTTAACATTTCTACAGTCCACTGCTAGTCTTACCTTCACTTTACAAACACCAATCGTACATTATATACCAAGTATGAAAGTGATAAGCAGAAGTCCAGTGAGAAAGCTTCTGCTCACTAGGGAATATCAGGCCAATGAGACAGAACAGACAGGTAAATGAAAGGGCTGCAGATGCAGCGAGTTCACAGCATGGAATGGGTGCTCAATTCATTATGCCTGAGGAAGCAGGGGCAGCTTAGAGATGTCTTTAGAAATATGGAGAAGTTCTCTTCAAAATGTGGAAGGATTTTAGGACAGAATTCTATGACTCTGACACTCCTAAAGTTTGAAATCTGTTCCTAACTTACTTAAATCAATGAAGAGAAAAAAGAGTAATAGTGGTTCTATTTATGCAGGGCAATAGTGGCGCATGCCTTTAATCCCAGCACTCAGGAAGCAGAGGCAGGCGGATCTAAGTGAGTTCAAGGCCAGCCTGGTCTACAGAGCAAGATCCAGGACAGGCACCAAAACTACAGAGAAAAACCCTGTCTTGAAAAAAGAAAAAATAGTGGTTCTATTCATAAATCATACTTGGGTGGCAGTGTTACACGACCTTAATCCTAGGCAGGCAGATTATCTGTGAGTTCGAGGCCAGCCTGGTCTACTGAGCAAGTTCCAGGACAGCCAGTATTACACAGAGAAACCCTGTTTTGAAAATACCAAAAAGTAAAAAATAAAAATAATAAATCATACATATTTGAATGGATAATATCCAGAGTGTGTGGGTTTTTTTTTTTTTTTAATTCTATACCTCAACAACAAAACAACACAACTTAAAACTGGGCAAAGGGTTGGGGTGTTGCTCGGTGGCAGAGAACTTATTTTGTATATATAAAACCTGGGTTCAAGACTCAGAATCATTAACATTAATGGATGAATGAATGAATGAATGAATGAATGAATGAATGAATGAATGAAAGAAACTGAGGCAAAAGACTTGAATAGGACTGTCAGGGACAAGGATAGAATCTCTAGTGGGTGAAAAAATACAGACCCCCATAAGACAGGGAACTAGATTATTTTACAGTCAGGTTGCCTAGCAACAGGACATTGAGTCAGAGCCCTTGACCCTCTCACCCTGTA